GATCTCATTAGCACGAATATAACCTGAGTGACACAAACCAGAATAAACACGATCTCATTAGCACGAATATAACCTGAGTGACACAAACTGGAATAAACACGATCTCATTAGCACGGATGTAATCTGAGTGACACAAACTAGAATAAACGCGATCTTAATGGCGCGACCATAACGTGAATAAAAAATAAACCCGTATTCCTATTATGAGGAGAGAGAAAAAGGGTTTATTCTGACGTGTGGTGAGATTAAAAACCCAAGTTCTTATTCTCTGTTTATTAACCTGTTCCTGGAAGAGATGTACTGAAAAAAATATGAAATTTACTACTGCAAAATAGTATTGAGATGACAGGTTGACCTTTGTGAGAGGATCCTAATCGTTTCTTATAATATAAAAACAAGAGACGATTTTGATTTCCTAAACATCTTTAATTTTCCATATTCTCACACTAATAGGCCTCGTTCTTACATTCTAAGAACTACTTTCTTCTCCTCAGTAGTTCGGCTGATAGTGTCTAATATTAAATAAATATTCTACGAAATAACAGCGTTGAGTTGTAAACGTTTGGGTAAATCGGCTGACAGCTGATATTACTTTTCATCAACCATATGAAGTTATGTGATGAAAAACGTGTATGCTATAATGTTGAATAAAAAAACAACAAAATAATTTGTTGGCACACTTTGCTTATTAGAGGACATCAATTTTACACAATGTCCTGGTATTATTTGACATTCTAAAGGACTTGTCCCCTAGTGGCTCAGCGGTAAACCTGCAGGCTTACAACGCTAAAAATCGAGTTTCGATACCCGTGGTAGGCAGAGCACATATAACTAATTGTGTGACTTTGCACTTAACAGCAAACAAATATCTTAATGACTGACTCGATTAAAAAGAGCAGCCAAGTTGACTTTAAATGATTATTAAGTTGATAATGAGCTGTTTTTAGATTATTTCTTGTTTAATGGACACACAAAAATCACTCCTGTTTCCAACCTTTAACATTTTGATTTCTATCCTACTATCTTTTTGCTGTTATTGTTGTATTTTATTTCCTAGTAGTTATCGTACTGTGAATCCGAGGGTTCGTGCACCGTTATCGCAAAACCTTGATTCAACATCCGGGGCCGTGGGTTCGCTATAAGAGGGACAGTCAACTCCCGCTATTTGGTCTGACCTGCAATTTAGCTGTGCTTTCTGAAACGAACATTTTTCCTTGAGCTTAAAGAATATGACTAACTATGTATTCAATAAATGATAATCATTTTGTACAATATTATGCTTCTTTAATACATTTACAGCAAACTGTGTCATTGTATTGTTTGTATTTTCTCCATTTTTTGACATGAAGAATCCTAAGCCTCACCGTCATTAGTTAACCCACTGTCTACCTCAGCCCTTATCACTTCACACTTTATTTGGCTGTGTTAAGCTTATCGCTCTGCTCATTCCACTACTCCTGTACTTTGACTTTATCGTTTCTCTCTGTCTTGAAATGACTTAAATCTATTTTTTATCCTTTCGTTGTTATGATAGCTGGACCTAAGAGTCTACTTCGATGTAAACCTTAAACATCGAATGGATCTAATTACTGTTTTCATGTGTAAAAACATTTGAATGTAAATATTGGGGGAAGCGATGATTACTTTTTCTTCAGTGAAAGTCCTCCTGGATATTTTGGAAGCTCTCCCACACACATTGATGTTCATAAGTACACGTGGTTCCCAGAACAAAAGATATTTAATGTGTTGTATTTGTTAATCTTACGTTTTTAATTGTTCAACTTCAAATAAAGTTCTCAAAATGGAGCTATATCATGTGGTCACGAGCAACTTCAAAAC